CCTCAGCCTTCCGAGTAGCTGGAACTACAGGCACGTGCTACCACGCCTGGTAATTTTTTGATTTATTGTAGAGATGAGGTCTCGCCAAGTTGCCCAGGCGGATCTCGAACCTGCGGCCTCAGGCAATCCACTCACCTCAGCCTCCCAAAGTCGTGGGATTACAGGCTGAGCCACCGAGCCAGGCTGATTCAAGAGATTTTTAAGGAATCTTTTTGAATGTATAATAGTGAAGAACACAGAGTCATTGACTTAGGTGTCCGGCTAGGAAGACGGATTTGAAAATAATGGGGCCACTCCCTAAAATAGGCAATTTTGAATGGCCGAGAGTGGGACCTGGTCAGGGAGTCCAGGAACACTCTAGGCTGCCCGCGCGGATTGTCAGCACCCCAGTTAGGCTGAGGTCCCGCGGCACCACTAGGCGATGGTATTTAAGAGATTATGGCATCTGAAGCCCACAGTGTTAAAAAAAATGGAACTTTTGTAATAATATTGAGGATCATTCCATTGATTTTCCTAGAAAAAGGATATCTAATTTCACTAGTAAGAATATGAAGGACGTTAAGAAATCTCCAAAACAGTTGGCTGCTTACATAAACACAACAGGTGGACAAGCTGTGAAAAGCCCAGATAAACTATGGAAGGTGATCTATTGCAGAAAGAAAGTTCATCATCCCTTTCCAAATTCTTGTTACAGAAAAAAAATACCCTAGAAGCTGGGTCTGTGACATGGCAAAAAAAGAAAACGAACTGGTTTGTGCCGGCCACCAGCCTGAAAAATTGCACCATGATAATCGAACAAATTTGGTTAACTCTAGTGATTCTGGTTCTTTGCAAACAGAAAGTCCATCAAGAAAATATAGTGGGCTTTTTTCTGAGATTTCTCAGGACCATGAAACAATGGCCCAAGTTTTGTTCTGCAGGGATTTGAGACTGAATGTAGCCTTAACTTTCTGAAGAAAGAAGTATAAGTGACCTTGTAGCTTATTTGGTGAGGATAGACCTTGGAGTTGTGGTAGATTGCCTTCCTGTATTCACTAATAGTTTATAGGAAGAAAAACAACATATCTCACTTGGCTGCTATGTAGACTTCTTGCCTCTAATAAAGTCACTACTTAAAAACAAATTTGAAGAATATGTCATAGATGGTTTGAACTGGCTTCAAGCAGTCATAAAAAGGTGGTGGTCAGAACTATCATTCAAACCAGAAATTATAAATGATGGAAATATTCAGATTTTTAAAAGAACAATTAAGTGGATTGTGGGAACAGGAAAACTATCTTACTTTGGTTCCAGGATATACTGATAATGTAGCTAAGGTTGTAGATGCTTATTTATTACAGTTGCATTGAGAGATTTCATCTACTAAAGAGCACTGGGGTATTCAAAACATCCCTGGACTATATGATGTACAAAAAAAAGGTCTCGTCTGAGAACTGTAAAAGAAATCAAAAATATTTTTTCTTTTAAAAAGCCACGTAATCAAACCACTAATGACACTCTAATGATCTACTTCACATGGAAGTAGAAAAATATCCAAAAGGAGCAGCTTCAACTTCAATGAGGTGAAAGTGCACTATGAAGATTGTTTGCCTTTGGTGCATTTGGGATTTATATGGTTATTTGGTGACACTGTTTAAGAACTACTGGCTCTTAATGCAATCCTACATACAAATATAATTTATACTGTGTGAAAAAATAAGACAGGACTTATTACTAGGAACCACAAAGACCTATCATTAACTTTTTTAAGATTGTGTTTTATAAAAAAAAAAAAACACTTAAATGTGTGCAGCTATTTTTTTTTTTTTTTGAGTTGGAGTCTTACTGTGTTGCCCAGGCTGGAGAACAGTGGCATGCTCTGGGTCACCGCAACCTCCATCTACTGGGTTGAGGCGATCCTCCTGCCTCAGTCTTCCAAGTAGCTAGAACTACAGGCATATGCCACCCCACCCACTAATTTATTTATTTATTGTAGACATGAAGTCTTGCCAAGTTGCCCAGGCTGGTCTTGAACCCGTGGGCTCAGGCAGTCTTCTCACCTTGGGCCCTCAAAGTGCTAGGATTACAGGCGTGAGCCACTGCACCCAGCTGCAGTTATTTTTTTATTTTGAAGACTGAAAGTTAGCGAAAATCAGTATTAAAATTTTGCTCACACTGAGATACCATGTATGCAAAATGCCCTAATTAGTAACTAGCCAAGGTGTTATATTATGATACCGATATCTGTGTAACAAAATTAAAACCAACCATGGTTCTGGCATGATGAAATCATAGAATTAAATCAGGGGTTTACATTCATGTAGAATGTTGGTGAAATGAATTCCACATAATTTTTTAAACTTGAGAATACTTTACTATCTCTGATTTTTTTGCCTGAATCATGTCATGCATGTATGTGTTATCCCCATCTAAAGAAAAAGCTGAATATGTATTTGTATGAATGCTTGACTGGAAATGTCCATGGCATTGGCTAATTTATATTCACTTTTTATTGAGTACAGATTTCTAATATTTTTACTTCTGTATCATTTAAACTTTTTTCATTTGAGTAAATTCACTAAATAGTTAAATAAACAAACAAACATACAAATAAATAAATAAAATAGGTAACCCACAGGGTTTGGGGGAAAATTGAGTTGTTTTGGGCATTTCAGTTTGAGATGCATGTGGTACTGACCATTTGGTGAAGATCAACCCACACACCTTCTATAGAAATGGATCCTATGTACAGCAGGTCTTCCAATGTTGGTTGTTTCTTTCTTTTTTTTTTTTTTTGAGTTGGAGTCTCACTGTAGCCCAGGCTGGAGTGTAGTGGCATGCTCACGGCCACTGCAGCCTCGACCTGCTGGGCTCAGGCAATCCTTCCGCCTCAGCTTTCCAAGTAGCCGGAACTACAGGCGCAAGCTACCACGCCCTGCTAAATTTTTTTTTATTTATTGTAGAGATGAGGTCTCGCCAAGTTGCCCAGGCTGGTCTCCAACCCGAGCTCAGGCAATCCTCTTGCTTCAGCCTCCCAAAGTGCTGGGATTACAGGTATGAACCACCGTGACTGGTCAACTATCGTTTTCTTTTACGGTTCATGAGAAAAAAAAAAAAAAAAGAAAAATCAATTCCCATCTGGGGCCACTGTCTGTGTAGAGTTTGCATGTTCTCCCCACGTTTGCCTGGGTTTCTATGCGGGTACTCTAGTCTCCTCCCACATACCAAAGATATGCACTTTTGGTTCATTGGCGTGTTTAGATTTTCCGGGTCTAAGTGGATGCGTGTGAGTAGCCCTGCGACAAAATGGCGTTCTGTCCCGGGCTCGTTCCCAAGTCCTCTGAGCAACCAGGATAGAGTCTGGGCACCCAAAACCCTGAACTGGAATAAGTATGTCAGAAGATGAATGACTGATGACAAATAATTGGAAGATAAAAATTCATAAACTCTATAATAATCACACACACGCACAACAAACAATGCAGTATGAAAGAGCTCGTGAGTCGCCATATTTGATCCTTTGCTTTTGAGCGGCACGGTAGTAGGAATTACCCTTTCAATTTTCACTTGGCAAACATTCATTCTTTAATTTAACCCACTACCATCATAACAGAGGTCACTCACTGATGCACCAAAACTGGGGTAAATAATTATCTAACTTGTTTTTATCGATCTTTCTCAAATGTATGAATAGCTCACATTTATTTCAATGTTAAATATTAGAAGTGTTTGGGATCTTTATTTAGAAGTGTGTCGGTGTCCGTGTGACCAGAAATATGCTAATGAAACTTAACTCTAGTTCATATCCATTAGTCTGTGGTAAAACTGGTTTAGTTATACAGTGTTTTCCTTAAAGTTGCAGTTTCCAGGAGCCTATGAACCACATTAAGTGAGGACTCACTGTATAGGAAATAGAAAGCTGTAGGTAGTAGTGGAAGAAGCCGGGATTATGGCTATGATCGATCACAGGAGTAGGTAGAAGAAGAGGGGCCAAGGATAGAACACCAACCTGAAGGAGAAAGGAGAAAGGAGAAGATGGGTATAGAGTTCAGTGGGTTAACATAATGAATGAATTTCAGTGCCTACTGCATAACAATGAATATCTTTGAATAGAAAAGGGGGGGGAAAGAAGCAAACAGATGGATTGAAGAATTAGGAGAAAATGTGTCACAAAACAGGACCCGCAAATAGTAAGGAGTGGAGCTGTAATTAAAACCTAAGTAGTTCAACTCCAAAGACAGAGCTCCTAACCACTGTGTGTACTTTTACTCTTGCAGAGAAGCTACCCAAGAAAGAGGACCATTTAGAATATAATTAAAGGTTATCAAGAGGTAAGTAAGATTGATATAAAGTTTTAGATTGGAAGCAGGAAGTTGAGGGACTCTCAGTTTCCTTTTCAACATCCTTTTCCTAGGCCTACCCTTTAAATATAAAAATGATCATGTTCCTTTTGTTTTCTACATGGTTTAAAACGGAAGAACTTCTGGGTATATATAGTCGACCTTCAAATGAGTGCGATTTTATTTCTGCCCAAGGTTAGTCTGGGTATTTAACTCCCTTATCAGAAACTTATCAAAAAGTTTCAAGTTGATGACACTTAAACTCAAATTTCTTACTGCCAATGTTTTAAAATAAAAACTTAAAGAACTGCAGAAACTAAGCTGTATTTCTACTTACTAACATGGGAATATGTCCAACTTATACCGTTAAAGTTAAAAACAAAATAAAACATCTTGATTCCACTTCTGAAAATAATGGGTATTACACCTCTGGCATCGAAAACATCGGGAATAATATACTTCAACTTATTGGCAGGGTTCACCTCTGGGGGGATGTGATTATGGGCATCGTTCACTCTATAATTTAGAATCTTTATGACCACGTAGTAATTGGGAGGGAGGAAAAAAGGTTTTGACCCGCTATAAGCAGATGTCCTGTCTTTCTGCTTGACCGAGTTCCAGAAGAGCGGATCATATTCACGGTGCATTACAGTAAACAGTAGGGCTCTAAGCTTCCACAACAAACGAATGAATTAATCAACGAATAGGAGTCTTGACAATCTCACAAAACCGTTGAGACAGACAGACAGACACACACACGCATGCGATTTTCAGTTAACGCGCAATATAGACCCACAAACTGTAAGGGGCCTTGGAGGCCAGTTACTTCCACGTTCCTCCTTCCTTCGGCCTAAATTACGATTTAAAGAGTCCGATTACTATCGAAAGCGTACCGAGGGAATGCAAGTACGGCTTTCGCCAGTAGTCCTCGCTAACATTAGTTCACTCTTGCCGTGGCAAGAAGTCCAAGGCTGGGCAACAGAATTGGAGTCGGCCCTGGTCGGCGGTGGCGTGTTTCGGGGGAGGCGAATCCCGCCAGCAACGAGCAGCGGTTGAGACCGTTACTCACCATTCCTCAGGACGCCAAGCTGGGGCTGGCGGAGCACCGAACTGAAGAGCATCTGGGCCGCAGGAAAAGGCTCGGCTAAGAGAAAAGCCGTGGCGATGTCCCCAAGTGCGGCAGAAGCTGCAGCTTGCTCCTCACACGACACGACTCGTTATCGCCTCCAACTCCCGCCACTGTAAGCCCCGGCCGCCAAACTCCGCGCCAAACTGACGTCACGCTCTCTGATTGGCTCTCGCCGCGGCGTCCGGGCGCCTCAGAGTCACTTCCCCCCTCAGATCCCCGCCTCCTTTTCTCCCAGCCGCGGGAACCTAGAGTCCGAGAGCGCCCTGAGCGCCTGCGCGGGGGGCCGCCGAGGCGCCGGCGAACCGTGGGGTGACCAGGGCGCATGCGTAACACGGCTTGACAGCGCGCGGAGGAAAAATCTGCACGAAGGCGGCGGGAGAAGATGGCGGCTCCGTGGCAGAGTTTGCAATCTTTCTGACTAGGCTGTTCGAGTAACTCTTTAGGTCATGGCGTCAAACTCAACTAAGTCCTTCCTGGCAGATGCTGGCTATGGCGAACAGGAACTGGATGCCAACTCTGCCCTTATGGAATTGGACAAAGGTACCCGAAAGAGCGGGCTGAGCGGGTGATGCGAACGTGGGGGGCAGTGGCGCCACCAGGTGGTGGTAGCCTCGAGCGAGGCGGGGGAGGCGCGTGCGCGTAGCTTCGCTGGGCGGGGCGTGCCTGTGCCTTCGCAGCAGCCAGCGTTTTGGCCGCCGCGGGAGGATAGCGGGAAGATTGCCAGATTGCCGGCTTGGCTTGACACCAGCTGAGCGAGTAGCGACCTCTAGTGAGGGGCTCGTTTTCACCACTCGAGGACACAGTCCCCGATTTTCCAAGCAGTGAAAGTGGATCGTTTATAAAAACACTAAGTGGGAATTGTGAGGTTGTTTTTCGTTTCGCTCCGTTGAGACCAGATCCGCATCAGGAGTGCAGAATAGTAATTTTGCACGGACTTCACAGCGATTCGTTTGATTTCCGTAGCTCTGTTACCCGTGGGTTACACGACAGGTTAAATACGTCCGAAAGCATGGCCCCTGCTCGTTCTCTGCGAACAAGTTCCACAAGTTGTGTTTCCTAACCGGAAACTGCTTGGTGTCGAAGGAAGGGGCTTTGGGGTTACTGAGTTAAATTCCAATTCTGCTTATTTTGTGATTAACTTAATCTAACCTCGGTTTCTTGTCTGCGGAGTGGGTACAGTACCATTGAGTTGGCAAATGTGTTAAGTGATATAATGGCATGCAAAAGAAGCATTTAGTAAGGGCGGAAGACACATTTTACTCAGATATGGATACGGAAGGCAGGGGCGGAAATTTGTCGGTAAAGAACTCGAGTATTAATTTGAAACCTTTGTTTTAGTGTATTTTAATGATTTTTTTTACTGTACGGGAAACATTTTGTCAGCTCTGGTACACACTTTAATTTGGTTAACTATAGCCAGTGTATGGAGAATTGGACTAGGAGTCAGAAGGCTCTGTCGTTAAGTCCACTTTGAGCCACTTCCCAACTTTCTGATTTGGACATATCTGTTAACTTTTTGGGATTCTTTTGTTTGTTTTTTAACCTATAAATCTTTTTAGTGGGTTGATCTAGATAAGAGTTTCTCGGGCTTTTAAAAAAAGCTTTTATCACCTTTTGATAAACATGAACATGTCATAACACTCCAATTGGATATTCCTTTAGTTGAGTCACAATATCTTTTTTTTTTTTTTTTTTTGAGTTGGAGTCTCACTCTGTCGCCCAGACTGGAGTGCAGTGGCCACTCCCGGCCCCCGCAGCCTCGACCCGCTGGGCTCCGGCGGATCCTTCTGCCTCAACCTTCCGAGTAGCTGGAACTACAGGCGCGCACTACCACGCTCGGCTAATTTTTTTTATTTTTATTGTAGAGATGAGGTCTCGCCAAGTTGCCCAGGCGGGTCTCGAACTCACAGGCTCAGGCAATCCACTCACCTCGGCCTCCCAAGGTGCGGGATTACAGGCTGAGCCACCGAGCCCGGCCGAGTCACAATATCTTTAGTATTATTCATCCCCATCAACCAAGAAAATGAAGTTGAATTTTTTTTTTTTTTTTTTGAGTTGGAGTCTCACTCTGTCGCCCAGACTGGAGTGCAGTGGCCGCTCCCGGCCACCGCAGCCTCGACCTGCTGGGCTCTGGCGATCCTTCCGCCTCAGCCTTCCGAGTAGCCGGAATTACAGGCATGCGCTACCACGCCCGGCTGATTTTTTTATTTATTGTAGAAGTTGAATTTTTTATTCTCTTACCGAATCTATAGGTTTTATTCTCTTCTGAAATATACCATTACTATTAAATGTGTGTTTTTGAACACTGTAATCTTTTCCTCCCCATTTGGATACGTTCCTTCATTTCCCAGGGAGAGTTTCAGGTCCAGATAATATCTAATATCCCAACCTTTCTAAGGACATCTACCACTCTGGTACAGCTGAGCTTGTCCCATGCTGACACTAAAAGAGTGAATGTAGAACAGGGATCAGGATGGGACCCTGAAAAAGAATTCTAGAATTGTTCAATTCCTAAAACTTTGCAATTGTAAGAAAAAAAATTTTTCCTTAAAAGTTGAAATGGAAATATTTTATATCTGTAAAAAATAAATTAGATGACAGTAGATATAAAGCATGTGATCATGTTCGATCCTCCCAGCAATGCCCTAGGGAGTGTTTTACAGATGTGTCTTGGGCTCAGAAAGACAATTTGTACAAGATAAGACCAAAACTCTTGTTCTTTTTCACCTCACTGTACAATATTCCTAAAAGTCAGTATTCATAAACTAAAATTAGTTTGTTTAGAATCTGAATCAGTATTCTAGGTGCATATGGTATGGCATGATATTGCATACATCTCACCTTGTACATTTACACTTTCTGAAATTTGAGGGAAGGATGCTTTATATTATTAATGCATCATTACTTTTCGCTGTCATTTCAGGTGTTTCTATTTCTTCTTTTTAAATATAAATTTAAGGTTTTGGCATGATCAATTTTTTAACTGATGGGTTATTAGTTTATCTTATAATGTGTGGTATATACTACTTTTGTTCATATTACTACCCCCCCCCACACCTTTTCTTAATAAGTAGACTTCAAGATGTATATGTGTTATGGTTCAATTTTAAATCATCCTCATCACTTAACTAAAACAAATATATGTAACAAATTCTCCTAAATTGTTTATTTATTTTAATGCTTTAATAATGGTGTGATTTTTCGTGGATGTTAGTCATACTGATGATTGCTTAGCATCTTTTGAACACTCTTATTATGCTTGAAGAATGTCTCGCATCATGAGCCCTGTCTTACCAGAGTGGAAGCAAAACTACCTAGTTTCTCTTACAAGAGTGCAGGATCTGAAAAAAGGACACTCCTCCTTTACACCAATTTAGAGTTAGAGATGCAAAGAGGGAGAGTTGAAAACCGCACTCAGAGTTCTCTCTCTGCCCTGGCAACAGCAGTGGCTGCCGTGTTCCTAGTGTATGGTAGCAACAGCAATGGCTACAGTATTCCTAGATGTATATATATCGTGTCTCCTAGCAACAGTAGACTTCCTCCATCCAATCAATTTGGCAGTGTGGTATTAGATGTTCCTAAAAAATTTAGCCTTAAAAATGACTCTTAGGCTTTTAATAAACTCATTTTCTGCCTAATCAGCCAGAGTTAGCTTCTTTTGCTTGTAGCTAAGACAGATGTTGCTTGGAGATTTGTGCTGTTTTGAAACTTTAATATGTATTCTAAACCCCAAGTTTATCATAATTTATGTTATTTCTCTTAAATTCCCTGGAATTTGTCATACCTCAGAATTTCGCCATTCTGGACTCACTAATTCAAACATTCCATTCCTGAGTCTTAATCTACATCCTTTTAGTTGCTTGCTAGTGATGTATTTAGCGTTATGGTTAGGACCATAAACTCTTGAGCCATAATGCCTATCTTTGAATCACAGCTCTGCCATTTATTAGCTGTTGTTTCTTAGGCAAATTGTTCAACTGTTCTTTGCCTGTTTCCTTATCTTTTGAATGGGGCAAATAATAGTGCTTAATTTTTGTGATTATAGTGAGATTTTAATACATGTAAAGTGCTTAGTAAAGTGGCAAAAAGTAAGCACTTAATATGTATCGTTATCATCATTATTGTGATTAATGGCTATTTTGACCATTCTTTATTTTTTTCCAGACCTTGGTATATCACCTCTCTGCTTTTCTACACCTGTTTTTACTTCTTTTTTCAGCTTATATTTCATGTCTCTTATTTTATTCATTTACTTTCTTATTACTTTAAATTTTCATTCAGGGTTCTATTCCACACATAACGTATCCAAAAGCAGTCGAAAATTTCTGGAAAAAGTCATGCAGTAGGGTATGTAGCTATCATCATAATTGATATCAAACCCAAACTGACCTTTAACACAGACCTATAATACTACAATGCTTCTTCAGTACTACTATGTTTCTTCCCCTGAAGATACTCACACCTTCTTCAGTAACATTTCAGAAATTAAAAAAACAGAAATTCTGGGTTATATGTGAAGTATAATTTCTTTTTTATTTATTTTTTTCTTTCATGAAGTATCATTTCTAAAACTTGACAATATATTAAAAACCTTTAAGAACATTGTGGCTGTCAGATAAAACCAATGAGAGGACCAGATTCAACAGCCTACTAGTTTTTTAACTCCAGTATAATCAGTGTGAGCAGGCCGGTCAAACAAGTTATCAAGTGGCAGAAGTTAGTTTAAGGATCCAGGTACCAGCCTCTCAAAGCAAGTAAACAGATGCCTGGGCCACTGCCCCAGAGATTTGGTAGATTAGGAGTGAAACCCTAGCATAGGTATTTTTAAAAAGCTTCACGCTTCACAAATGTTTCTGATGCAGTACCAGAGCTAAAAACCACTAGCCTAGTTATTATTCCTTGCATAAGTGCAAAATAAGTTTGGAATGATGAATGGTTTTACTACTGCCAAATGAATTTTGAATGGATAAGTGATTTACAGAAAGCCTATTTTAGTTCCCCCATCTACTTGCATGCTGCCACTGAGTTAAGTACTCAACTCCATGCACTGAAAAGGAGAAGAGATCTGTTTTATTTGTTTGTTTGTTTGTTTGTTTTAGGTGAAAGAGTACAAAGTAAAATGTAGAAACGGGAACTACATTCCTTCTCCATAATCTTATATCTAGTCTTATCAGTAGTGTTCTTACAATCAGTGATCTTATGACCAGGACATGCTTCCTCAAGTCTGTTGTCGCAAGCAATGGAAATAAAATGTGTAACCCCTCTTAGACCAGGATCTGATTGTGCTGAGCTTCTGTTTTCTAATGCTTGTCCTATATGGGATCGAAATTGGCCTAGAGTAAGCAAGATGAATACCATATTACCCCAGCCTTGGATTGTTGTTAATTAATAGACCTATCAAGTACTTCTTTCTTCCTTCACCTTAGCTCCTGTCCCTCAGAGCCAGCCTGGCTTCTCTCTTCCTCTCTCTTAAGGAAGGCTCTTACAACAGAAAATACAAAGGAGATTTATGATTCTTTAGCTAATTTACCCTGATGGCCCTGTTATAGATTTTTTCTACTTTACCTTGGAGGGAAAAAAAACTTGTGTCATTAGAGAAATCAAAACACTTTC